AAAGAAATCAAAACAAAATGGGTGACCCTATTATTGTTCTGACGAATAAACAATTACAAACATTACTAGCTGGCTACATACATAGACATACATAGAACATAACCATTTCCCATTCAATTTGACAATTTTGACTATTTTTGACGTTACCGGTTTTGTGCTAAATTAATGTGAATTGACCTTTTCAATTTAAAAGCCTCTCTCTCTGGCATCAAACTGTCAGACGCCAAAAGAGTATGAAAACAATGGTTGACAGCCGTTGACAGTGGTTTGTAGACAAGACTTTTGAAAGAAACTATTATTTCCTCGGGTTTTTTAAGGTTTTTTCTTAACAATGGTGATTGTGTGTAGTGTGCCTATACATAAAACGAATTCCTATTTATTCCTATTCACCGGCGGATGTGTTGTTCCATAAGTTTCCATCAAATCCTATATTTGTCAAAACTTGGATACACAAAATCAGAATGCAGAAAGGATACTCGCAAAAGAAAGGGAAATCCACGGCTCATCAAGTATACAAAGTAATCCATGTTCAAGTTTAGTTTTCAGAAGCTGTTTGCTTCCAAAATAATCCACCCCGGCTTCGTAGCGAAGTTCTGCGAATGAAGCAGTGACTTTTCCCACATTTTCTTTCCAATTTCAAACCCTGTGTTTTTATTATAAAATTTTACCGATGGATCCATCATTCTATGTCGGTCATTTTCCATTCACTTAACAAAGGTAGCTAACTCATTGGTGAAGTCACGGATTCGAATAAAAATGAGGGGATTGCTAAACACCCAATACACATTGACATTGACAAGCAAGCAAATTTTGGCGGGAAAATGAATGTTTTCATACTTATCGTTCATCTCTTTTAATTGAAAACGTCAATTACAAAAAACTAAAAAGATGTCGAAGAAAAGTGATAGCCGGGGTACCAGAATCTCAATAGAAGTCAATACCTGTATCAAATGTCGCGTTCACAGAATACATATCCTCACGGATAGAAGGCAAACTGCACAGAATACATATCCTTACGGATAGAAGGCAAACTGCCTAATAAAATTTTGGGGAACAATGCGCCGTCACGGCGCGGTGGATGCGATCCGAACTATTTATAATAAAGGTTTCTGTAATCAAATCAGCTTTTAAAATAGTTCTCCCAATGTCAATATTTTCAATATTATAATTGTTCGGACTTCAGTTCACAATAGACCTATCTATTTTACCAGACAAAGAGGTAATAATACGAAAACTTTATTAGATAGAAAAAGACGCAGAACGCTTATTGCGCAAGACGAGGCAAAACCTACCAAATTATGTTAGACTTACGTATAGCAATCCGTTCTTGTTATTTGCACGGGATGAAAAAGGAAGGAGGAAAACCGCGTGATGTGCAACGTATTTGTCAATCAAAAACACAAACAATTGAAAATCGATCACTTGTCAAGCTACGTCAAGTTAAATATCAAGCATAATTTTATCCTTGTCAGACCACGGGCAATGAACAAGGACAAGGAGATACCCAGCGTGCAAAAGGATTATTTCACACCTGTACTAGTTAGCCAATAAAAATGCATTGCCTCGTGTTGCGCGCGCATACAGGTAAAAATAGATAGGTCTATTGAATTACGCTTTCGCATTTCTTCATATAGGTTTGATATGACCAAATGCGCAAGCGTAGTCCAATTTAAAACTGATTTTGAACTGAAGTCCAAACAAACCTTTTTCCTCATTATAGTCATTATTGAATATTCACGGATTTTTCTTCCGAGTAGAGCAAAAACGGCCAAACTTCTTGTGTTTTGTGTAAAATCTTGTTTTTCTTTTTCGAAATTAGGAAACATTTATCTGGATTTAAAATGCACACCAACACCAAGACGAATTCTCATTCAGAACTATTTTGACATATTTTTTTAAACATAGGTAACAGGTAAACTGCCAAAGTAAACTCTGACATATTTTCTGGTGACGTTCATTGTTGGTTCATTCCGCACCTGTAGTTCTGTTTCACTCCAGCGTCCCCAAGCGGATGCGATCCGAAGCTTTTTTTTTAGGCCCCGCCCTCCATTAAGCTTTTTTTTCTATCCGTGAGGATCATAGATAAGGGATACAAAACTCTCTCGAACCTATAATATAGATAGGCAACTCAATACAAACATTTTGTTCCTGATTACAGCGCCCTCTCGCATGTGTAGTCAGCAAATTGAGAGCGCGGGAAGCGCTCCTTTTTAAATTTTTTTTTTTTTCTTTAGGATCCGTTTATCATTTTTTATTGCCACTAGCACTGAACAATTTAATATGTTTCTAGTGGAAATAAAATTATGATAAACAGTCTCTTGATCACATACCGAAGAGTTACATACTAATTAATCCATGTATTAAATACAAAAATAACAATTTTGAATTACTTTATTAACTACAGTATGATATCAATCCAATCAATAATAAGTAACCTACAAGAATAAGATTTTTTGATTGTAAACGTTTTGCAGGCATAAAATGAACACCTGGAAAGAAAGAAAGTTACAGTGGTAAAATTACAGGAGGTAAATTCCCGATTTTGGTATAATGTAGGGATTGAAACATACCTGTTCATCATTTTTGGGAATTCCATGCATTTTACTCTGTTCCCTTGGCATTCTCACATTGCCACACAACAAGATAAAACCATTTTGCTTTGAACGGAGAAAATTTTCAATCTCTGACTCAAATATTGAATAAAAATGGAATATGTCAAAATTTGTCAAAATATAATGAAAAAGTAAAAGTGAAGCGACGCTGCCACATGTCAAAAGCATGGGATTTTTGTTTTGAAAAAAAAATGTAATTTGAAATCGTACTACTAGCAATTATATGTTAGCGAGGTACACGACGTTTTTTTTTCTTATTGTTTCAAGCTTTTTAAAACAAATAAAGAATAATCTGGACTTTTTATGTATAAATCTGACAACGGCATTGGACGACAGCGCCTCTGCCGTCTGTAGTCGCAAGCTTTTAGCGGAACAAATTGCGCCGTAAGAGTTGCACATGCATGGTGAGGATATGTGTTCTGTGGCAAACTGCCTAATAAAATTTTGGGGAACAATGCGCCGTCACGGCGCGGTGGTTGCGATCCGAACTATTTATAATAAAGGTTTCTGTAATCAAATCAGCTTTCAAAATAGTTCTCCCAATGTTAATATATTTTCAATATATTTGTTCGGACTTCAGTTTAGAATTGAACTATGCTTTCGTATTTCCTTATATAGGTTTGATATGACCAAATGCGCAAGCGCAGTCCAAGAACTGATTTTGAACTGAAGTCCAAACATACCTTTTTCCTCATTATTGAATATTGACGGATTTTTCTTCCGAGTAGAGCAAAAACGGCCAAACTTCTTGTGTTTTGTGTAAAATCTGATTTTTTTTTGAATTCAGGAAACATTTATCTGGATTTAAAATGCACACCAACACCAAGACGAATTCTCATTCAGAACTATTTTGACATATTTTTTTTAAACATACGTAACAGGTAAACTGCCAAAGTAAACTGTGACATATTTTCTAGTGGCATTCATTCCACACCTGTAGTTCTGTTTCACTCCAGCGTCCCCAAGCGGATGCGATCCGGAGCTTTTTTTTTACACCCCGCCCTCCATTAAGCTTTTTTTTCTATCCGTGAGGATGTGTTCTGTGGTCGCGTTAAAGCTTTTGAAAACCGAAAATATTTACAAACTGTCTTTTTGATAACACAAAAAATGCATTTCTTGGACGACGTTGCACATTATTTAACTGCCGTTGTTCAGCTCTTTCTAGGTTTTCGATAACAATAACATGTATTAAATTATCCATTATACTTTTTACCTTTTTATAAGCCAAATGCTTATAATAATATGATAAACTCACTTCAGGATGACAATTTATTCGAAAAAAAAACTCGTCGTATGGCGCTCGATGGGAAGCGAAGGCAGCTAACGTGCGCTCGCTAAGAAACGTGTGACCAAAAATTGAGTTTTTCCGTTTTTCGTAAAAATACGAATGATGTTAGCGATTTCGTTATTAAGCGAGTGATGAAAAATTGAGCCCCAAGGTCTCTGTTATTAATATGAAAGTTGGGTTTGATGTTGCAATGGATATTCGGAGCTCATCGATTTTTGTCATTATGGAATTTAGATTGGTATAGAAGAATAAAGCCTCAATGAGAGGCTTTGTTAGTTTTTTGAGGCGTTGTTTTGGATTTGAGCTTTCGCTTGATCTCTTACGATTTTCGGACAGCCATTAAAGTATTTAATCTTCAAGTTATTCTCACCTCCAGCAGTGCGATTTTCCAGTTCTTGAGGTCGTATTTAATGTACGCGCCTTCGTTGCTCGCGACTTTGTTCTTATTTATTAGAACATTTTGGGCATCGTCTTTTGCTGGTAGGATTACTTTGATTGGACGGACGAAGTTATCTTTGGGTCTTCCCAGCCTAAAATGTTGTATACTATCTGTGGATATGTCTTTCGATATTTGCTCAATGATGATGATTTAATTGAGACTAAATCTTGTGCTACTATGCGTTATTTTTTTATTCTATTTACTTTTCACTTGTATTTAAAAAAATTGAGGTGGAAATAAATTTTTGTTTCCCGATTATAAAATGTATACATCACGAAGCTGAAGACTGAATAGTTAGGGGTCAGATAAGGAATCAGTCTTGCCGAACAATTTAAGTTTGCGCAAGCAAGTTGATGGACATGACGGAACGTCTATCACAGCCTTTAGTGCCTTAAGACTATATTGGGTTTCTATTAAAAGCCCGATTGTTTATTATATGCAAATCCTTTTGAAAACTGCCGCTAGGAGAATATGTGACCGGCGCCGATATTTTAACACTAGCATCAAAAAGTATCATTCAAATCCAGCATGCAAAGTAAAGAAAACTTAGAAAGTGGTAGTTTATCTATTTCATATCTAAGTCTATATACTAAAAGCAGCTAATCTATATAATATTTAGCAAAAGTGGTTTTTAATATCAAGTTTTATATCTATTTTTCAGGCGTTTTTTTGATGACGGTGGTGTGGCGGCCTTCAACAAAATCAACTTGGACGACAACGAGAACCAGGGTGGTCCCGTATACGTATGATGCTGAACAATGTGTAGGGTCCTTAATCTCCTACTAACATTATTATTTGCTTTTAGGGTGGTTGGAAGCCCCCCAAAAAAAAAATTACGTAATACGCTGTTTTGATTTGGCTGTGTCGCGCGCGTTTTGAGTTTACCGAGCGCGAATCTTTTTCGTTTCGAGAAGAATCTGTCCTCACAAATTATATGTGCCTATAATTTATTTATGTTATTGTAAAGAGGATATGGGGGGGACGCTGAAAACTAGTTTGTGCTCTGTGTTCACACGAAAACAGCTTCTAAGTTGTTATTTTATGCCTGTTATTTAATTATTTGTTTTCAGCTCATAAGGCAGGGTTTGTAATTATTCGATCTAGAATGAGGTCATATTTGCTGAAAACTTGTTGATTTTTTTTAAGAAAAAAAATTTGTTGGTTTCCTCTTTTTTAGTTAACGTTAATTAAAATTATTTAAATAATGCGCCTGGGGAAGATTTTTGTGACAACTATCTTTACAGCCTTCTAAGAGCTTGCCAAAATTGATTTAACTGAAGAGAAGGTTGAATTTATAATATACCGTAAAATTAAATATGCAAATAATGGACTTGGTATTGCAAAGGAGGTGAAATTGAAATATACAAGGTGAGCCAAGTAGTAGAAACAGTAACATATTATGAAACTTCACAGAGATAGAAGTGGTTAACACGCACGCAAAGAAACCCACTTTTTTGTATAACAGAAGCATTATTGGTCAAAATTGATAAAATCACCTGATTATTAATTGATATTTTGACATAAAAAAGATGATTTATGCTCTACCATTTAAATTCAACATCATCTTTCATGGTAGCATTTCACAAGCATATTGACTAAGCAAATCTAGTGCTACGATTGGTTTGAAGGTGGCTTTATCACCAAATTTTGATACACACTTCTTAGCTAACTTCAATTCAACCTTGTCTGTAAGTGTATGCAAAAATATTAGCTGATTTTATATTCACTCGCAAATAAACACACTTATAAAATATGAAACTTTTAGAATGTTGCCATGATGCTCACAACAAATTTCTTTTTTTTTTTTGCTACACTTGCAAATAAATGTATATTGGGTAAATTCAGGTTTTCAAGATTGTCCATTATTTGTGTCCAACATGAATTTAATTCCTTTTGATGAAACCAGATGGCGTTGTAAAAGTTGTTTTGTTGTTATAACCAAAGTCCGTCTTTAGCTGCCTTTAGATGTAAGCTATTATTATATGCCTATTTGTGCTCAAAATCTTTTGTTGTTAAAAAGTACAGACTATTTTATTTTTGTCAAATCTGGTTCAGTTTTTTGTGCACTGGTTTTGAAGAAAAAAATAAGATAAACTGGAGCAGGAATAAATAATTAGTATGTATATTATGCAACGAGGTCTGAAAATTGCACTTTTCACACAAGTGTAAAAATCCTTTTTTTACAAAAAGCTTCTTCGACTGCCTGAAATTCATTTTTTTGCTCATGAATATGCGATTTTCCATTGCAAAAAGCTTATCATACCCTGTGTAGTATGTTTGATACTCGGGTAATTGATTCGTCAATGTTTTGTAGTGTGAGTTTTTGAAGCAGTTGTAGAAGAAAGTTGTTAAGAGTCGAGTCTATTTTGAAATTTAAATAACCAGGTCAACCAGTTTTTAAATTACCTTGGCAATCACAAAAGCAAAGATATTTGCCAATAGTTCCAGGGATCATACTAGTCACCTCAACATTCGATTTATCTCCAAGATCATTCATATTACAGTAGTTTTCCTTCACTTCAATATAAGTCCTAGCATTTGCATCATTGCATTATCTTTTTTTTGTGGCCCTTATAACTTGCATATAATTATTGTTTCCTTATTTTCTAAAATAACTGGGAAAGTTTATCGTAACTGTATACTTTTCAGATTTCTGCACCTTGATTCTAGAAATAATCCATACTTCTATTTTTTGTACGAATATTTCCTAATACAATGGAAAACCATCCCAATCAGTTTATGAAATCGAAAATCTCCATCCAATCTGTCTTGATACAATGTCTTCGGAATTCTCAAAATAACTAAAGCTGATTTTCTCATATTTATTTTGCCTATCCAATACAATGTTTCATCAAGATGACTCAACGAGCTCTTTTCTTTGTGAATTGTTTAAAGGCAAGTTCATACTTCTCTCATAAGTGATAGTCCTATGAGTCACATATGATTTGTAGTATACTTTTGCTGCTTGACCAAAAGACCTGATTCATTTGCATACCTAGTTAAATTTTGCAGTATAATCTAAAATCGAATTTGAATTTATATAAAATTGATGTTATTTTGTAAGGCCTAATTCATATTTGACCTATTGGACTCTGGAACTATAAGCAAAACATATCTGTAATCTTTTTTTGTCGATTCAAAGGCAGTCGTAGAAAAAAAATTGTTTATGTTATATCTATCAAACAAATAGTTATTTTTTAACAAATGTATTAGTTGGTAATGGTATGAATTTGAAAAAATATGGTGCTAAACTTTCAAAAAAATTGTCTTATAAATGTGATAACATTTCAGTTGCTATACTTGTACAAAATTATTATTATTATTATTATTATTATTATTATTATTATTATTTGCTTGACACCGATGAGTCTATCATATCTTCTCTGTCCAATGCTCTGCGTCGTTTCTTTTGATTGGGTTTATAAGTAGTGTACTAGGTTGGAGTTAATTAATAATTAATAATTATTCTACCGGTATACTACGCGGTTGCATAAAAAGTTTTTTCTTAACGCTAAGGATGTTTTTTCTTTCTTGAGCCTCTTCGTGTCGTCTGAGGTTTTTATTTATGTTTTGTTAAAAAATATCTGCCATATGCAGTTCTGGGAAGTAGTGTCCACACAGGATCTTATAGGTCTCTATTAAGTCGCCTCTTTCTCTTCTTTCTTTCCGAATTGTTAAGTTAAATCTTTGCAGTATGATATCATATGGAAGATTATGCATTTCAGTTGGCATTCTTGCGATTCTTCGATGCACACGTTCAAGCATCTCTAGATCCTTGCAGTAGTAGTACGGGTTCCAGACTGTGTGTGCGTACCCAAGTTTGGGCCTTATGTAGTATGTTGTATAGACTTTTTTGATCATTTGGATAGAGTGATTGATAAAAGCCGTTTTTACTAGGTACACCAACTGATTCGCTTTCTTCACAACTCGGCCTATGGGTGTTTCCCATTTAAGATCTTGGCTTACGTGCACGCCCAAATCTTTTTGTTGGTTAACATTCTCTAGCTTGGTTTCCTTAATTTTGTAGTTAATCATCGGGTTATTTTTTCCTACATGCAGCACTTATCTAGGATGTCTTGTTCATATTTGAGTCTTACCTTCTTGATCATAGACCTCAGTTTGTTGCAGTTTTGGTCTGATTTTTGTATTTTATATTTGTCACATAATTTCCTCTTGAGGTCAATTTCTTTGAAAATGAATGCATTCAACCAAGGTTTTTGGACGTTGGTCCGGCATAACTTCTCAGGGAAGAAAATATCTATTGTTGTTGTCAAAATGCTTTCAAATTCTTCGTACTTTTTGACACTTGGTTCAATATCTCCTGCTAAGTTCTTGATGTATTCATTAATGGGTTCGTAGTTAGCAATGTGAAAGTTTCGCTTTTTTGATTTTCTTTGTTGTATTTTGTTTTAATCTCAGCTGCACTATACCCGCAATAGTGATGTGATCGCTTTTCCCAAGTGGTGCTTTAGCCTTTATCAATGACATCATTTTTTTGTCGCTTGTCAGGAAAAGATCCAGTAGAGAACTTTGATTGTTTCTAAATCTTGTATCAAAAGTTACAACTTGATGACATCGCCATTCTTTGTAACACTTTAGAAAATCGGTGGTTTTTTTGACATGGTTTATTCAATCTTAGAGATCTCCAACAAATCTCTGGGTGGTTGAAATCGCCGCTCACAAACACTTTGTCATTCTCCTCAAATACTTCCTGTAGTAAATTGTGAAGAACTGTATTTTCTTCCTGGTCTATAGATACATCCCAATGGAAAGTTTTTATCTTATATTTTCATATCCAAAAACAAAGCGTTCACAGTTCCATTTATTATGTATTTAGTGTTAAGCAGTGGTCTTAATTTTGAAACCGTTTGTTTCGGATCCTGCATATACGCATACGCCTCCGCCGTCTTGTAGGCGCCTGTCAGCCCTAAACAGGTTGTATCCCGGCATAGAGATCAAAGTGTCTGGTATATTTTTGTTAAGCCATGTCTCCGTAATTAGTAGGAACGTTGGTTTTTCTTTGGCAATCATTGCATGGATTTCTTGTAGTTTAGGACGAATGGATTAAATGTTTGTGTAATAGAATGTTATGTCTGTAAGTGGACTTCTTAGTTTTTTTGTTGGGTTTGATGGTTAGGATGGACGGGTCCGAGCGATTTTTTTCAATGAACGATGAATACAAGATATCAACCTTGTTTCGTTTTCGCTGGCCCACCCGGTATATTAATCACTTCAACACGACAAACTACACATTTTAAATGTGATGCTCACCCATTATCAGTCTAAATGGCCCCACACACTACGTTTTTTCTCGTCTGTTTTCATCGCCGCGATAAAATACGACGATCTAAAACCGAAGTCTGTGGTAGAAAACCGTCGTGTCTCATCGTCGGTTTAAAATTCACTCCGAGCTTGACTTTTGGCACGACGTTCAACATTTTGTTCCAAAACTGTTGCATGTGGGTTCAACTGCCAAAAAATCGCGTAGTGTGTGGTGAAAACAGGCTAACCATGAAACACGACGTTGTTAATCGTGACGATGAAAACCAACGAGACAGAACGTAGTGTATGGGGCCCTTTACAGTAACTGTTCGACCCTCAGATAAGTCAGATATTTAGATTACCCAATCCCTTCCTATTCTCTGAGTCATCGAACCGTCATGTCATCGCTATTCAGTTAAACGGTGCGGTGCCGTACAAACATAATTTGTATTTTCCCAAAACACATAAAAAAATATGAGACACTACAGAGGCAATTCCCAAACCTTTAAGCCTGGGATCTTCTTCCTCTTCATGTGCTTTTGGTGACAGTTCAATACTTATTTGAGAAATGGTTTCTTGTGGCAACCGTTCTTGTTGCTTATAGGCTTCTTGTAATTTCTCAATTGAGATTCTGGAGTAATGAGTGTTTGATTTGGTGCACTAGAGTGTCCAGCATACATTTTGAGAGGCATTTTATTCACTGGCACTGAAACGCTTCTGTTGAACTTTGAATTAACCTGTAAAGGTTTTTTTTTTTCTCTCAGGCCCTAAGAAGGGATCTTCCAATAACTGTTCAGCAGACATTTTAGTAGAGCCAGCAGTAGCTCCTGATTCGAAAACCCTCAAAAAAAAGTTGTAGTTTCCTTTGAATTTCCCGGAATTTCAGGATGAGCTTTATGATATCCTACTTTAAAAAGAGTTACCTGTGGAGCAAGGTTGTTTGAGAGAGGTAGGTTGCCTAGGCTGGGACTCTGTAATAAATAGAGGTACATCCTCTATCTCTATTGACGTCCCCTCTCTATTGATTTCGAAAAGAGAGAAGAAGACAAAGAGAACGATTTCTATCCGTTACAAAGTCCTAGCTCTGATAACTTTATAACGTCATCTGGAGTGTCTCAACATAATGCAAACCTCCATAAGGCACCCCAGATGCATCATCAAGTTACCCATCAACTTCAGGAACCTTGCCTTTCAAGATCCCAACAAGGTACAACCCATTAAACAAACATCTGCTGGTGCAGCATAATTATCCACACTCTCCTCTTTCAACAATTCCAATCGTGAATTTCTGTACAGGGTGGCCCAAATTTGAGCCTCATCATTGGGATCTCGGTAACCCTAAGGGATACGGGGTCGGTAAAATTATGGCAAAGTTGCGCAATTTTATGATCAATATAGAATGCCGTTTTGAAACTAGAAAGATTCCGAATACTTCCGGAGATATTCGGAAAAAACCGAAATTTTATAAAATCGTTTTTATTTTTTCCCGGGCTTATTTAAAAAGCAATTTTAAAATAAATGTCCACTTCATCATTGTCACTTTTTTCCCTTTAGAAGATGGTGGCTACTTAATTTAAAATTCGACGTTTCGTCTCAGGCGGCCATCCTCAACTTACGTTTTTTAAATACGGACCTAGATTTTTTACTTGCGATTTTGTTATCTTTGGACATCCTTAAATCGATACTGTTTATAATTTTTCAATAACACGGTAAAAAAAGCAGGTCCATATTTAAAAAAAAATAAATTGATGATGATTCCAGAGGAACGAAACGTTGGATTTCAAAGGACATCGCACACATCTTATGGGTATTCGGGGACCGGTCGATTTTTTTAAAAATTTGGTATGTTGTAGTACTAGTGAAAATAAGTATTTTTCATCATTGCGCAAAATCTCTAACTATACAGGGTGACCCAGTAAAGTGGGTCCGAAAATCATTGCCAAGCCTTTCATTTATTGATGTTGGCACGCATTGCAAGCTACATATCGGGATTTTTTTTTCTATTTCGCAAATAAATAGTCTAGATAAGCCTAATATATTATACAGGGTGGCTAACCTTACGTATTCTTTTAGAAATACTGCACTATTCTTTAGTAATAGTGTTACGGAAAAGGTCGTGCTGGAATTAATTTGCCCGTAACTTTTCCAATTTTTGTCTGATTTTAGAAAATCTGGGGGCGGATTACGAACTCTCGATTCGAACCGAAACCGCCATGGATTTCGAACGCACTCCATGCGAATGCATCAGAATGCGTTCGAAATCAATGGCGGTTTCGGTTCGAATCGAGAGTTCGTAATCCGCCCCCTGGTCTCAAAATAAAGCTTACATCACAGAGGGATGTCATAAAATCTGAAAAAATGACAAATCTCATAGAATTCGTGTGAAATATCGCCTTTTTTGGCCAGACATCGTCAATAATTTACATCTGAGGAAGCAAATAATACTCGTAAGATTACAAAGACATGTTGGATGGACATTTGAAATCTGTGTTTAACACAGAATGTTGTGACTAGTGCAAAATATTGAAAATGCCCTACATGAAAGTATTCAAAGAGAAAACCTCCAACTTAGGGGTGGTGGGGTGGGCCTTAAGTCGATTTACATGAAAATTATATTAATTTTTCTATTCTCACTGTTGAGTAGGTATTCATGAACTAAAACTTTCCGAATATATCTAAATATTTTCGGGGTTCACACAAGATAAGTAAGCAGAGATTTTCTGTTTGTATCATTTTTGTTCTCCCCTGGGCTGGATGGAGGGAATCCAGTATTGGGCACATACTGCACATGCAAAGTTATGGCGTTGTTAGGTACTTTAGCTACGCTTGACATGAGAACAATGTGAAGTATCCATCAAATACGTTACTTATATTAGGGCCGGTTTATCAATAACGAGTCATTTCCGTGATTTGTCAATTTTTTGGTAATATTTTTTTTTTTTCAAAATAGAAATATATGGATTGATTGATGAAGATGAAGATTTCTACAGTTTCGTAGGAAAACGCCTCATATAATCCGCCAAAGGATTAATCCTCTCGAGAAATACGATGACTAGGATTTCTCTACAAAGGATTAAAAGTTCATGTCTGACCTCGTGCACCCTATATTTCGCTTATACAGGGTGGGCCACCGAAAACTTACAATGGCTATAATTTTTGAACCAAAAAAGATATTGAAAAAATAAAAAATACCGTTTTTGTAAAATCAAGGCGGAATACACATGACGTATTTTTCAAACCACCCCGACCTACCCCTTAGGCGCCACCCCTACTCGCTTCAAAATCTTTAATGGCAACACCCCACTTGTGGCACCTTTTTGGAAAGCTCATGAAAAATGCTAAACGATGGTCATAAAATTTTTAGGGTGACATTAGAAAACTACCCGTCAAATGAAAAAAATTGATAGAAATAAATTTTACAAAAAATAGTTATTTTTGTATCAAGGGCGCGAAATGCTACTTTGGTGATCGAGATCTGATTTTTTTAACAAGGCGCAGCCGAGTTAAAAAAATAGTCGAGATCAATAGTTGAAAAAGCACGTAGTGCACGAGTGCCTTTTTCAGTTAAAAACGCATGAGTGCAAATTTGTCGAAAATTATAAATATATTTCCATTGCACGAGTTGTATTTGATGAGAGAATTTCATAAATGTCAAAACACCAGTTTTCGCACCAGTTAGTATGCAATTATCTGATAATTTGCAGTAGTGCAAATTATCGCGTAATTACAATCTGATTGGTTCAAAACATATCAATTTATTGTTGGAATACCAGTTTTGACAGATGTATAAAATTCTCTCTGTAATTCTCTCTAGTTAAACAAATGGAAAAGAGAATTTTCGCTGTAATTCTGAAAATCGTCACTTGTCTTAGGGGGTTTCTAACACATGAGTGGAATAATCGAATGTAATACCACAAGAGGTTTCAGGATTACCGGATAATACTTTTACCTGTCACGAAACGCGTTACGCAGGTGTTGCTGGTAACGCGTTGAGTGTCAGGTAAAAGTATTAGGTGATCCTGAAACATCGAGTGGTATTCAAAAGGTTATACAACGAACTAAACTTTAATAATTTTTATTATTAATAATAGCAAATTAACAATATTGCCACCAAGCGCGATAATCCCAAAAGGCTTATCACTTATTAAGCCTCTCGTGTCATATGGGAATAATGTACAGTGAGTTGTATAATCGCTGTAATTTTGAAAATTGTCACTTGTCTTATGGGATTTCTAATACGTGAGTGGAATAATCATTGAAAGTTATCCTGCTGGAACTTTTGTGTGTTTCGAAGAACCATATACCTCCAATAGGTTATTTATAATAGACAAACGACAATAGTCACTTATTGTGAAGGTCGTAAATAAAATGTTGTATATCACATGTACGGTAAGGCACATTACAATACTCGTGTGGTTACCACGACTCGGTCTACGACCTCGTTGTGGCAATATTCCCCACTCGTTACTGTAATGAAGCTCATACCGTACTAGTTGTATAAATATCTATTATCCATTTATTCATTACAAACACTACAGATTTATATCCAGTTACAGAGTAGGGTAGAAGACTAACCTAAGTGAAAGTAAAAATATGAAGAGTTACTTAACATTAAAATCTACATTTATTTCCTGTTCTACATGTCGGAGTATAAAATTCAATTTGGTTTAACAAACACGGAGCATTTACCATGTTATTTAATATTTTATACAGAAATATAATTGTAGAAACTTTCCTCCTGCCTTCAAGCGTTTGTATATTATGGGCTTTCATGATTTCAATTTTTGATATATGCATTTCATATAGCCCTGTTTCCTTATAGTGTGAATAACTCAAAAATTTATTTTGAATTTTGCCAATACTATATTTAGGGTTCTCATAACACAGGCTCCATATTATAGAACAATTTTCTTATAAACTCCTGATGTATAAAAAATACAGAGTTTTAACACATATGTATTGAGCTCTTTGCAATTATTTCTGACAATAAATCCATTCATTTTGGATGCCCTACTTGTTATGTCATGTATATCACTTCTGAATGTATAAGCTAGGTGTCAAATATTACCCCGAGATCCCGCATTTCTGCAACCCTTGCCAGTACCCTTTTGGTCATTGTATACTTATAGTTAAAATACGTTTTTCTTCTACTAAAACTAAGCACCAAACATTTGTCAATATTAAATTGTAATTTATTTTTCATTGACCATAAACTTATTTTGTCCAAATTTTTCTGGATCTCCTGACAGTTATTGTGGTTGACTACGTTTACTTCATGACTTGTATTCGGATACTAAGTGGATTGGATTAATAATGGGGATTAATAATCCTGAAATAACCACCCAGGATTAAAGAGTTTGTCCGGATCGGAGTACTTAAAATAATAGTAGATTATACTACGAGTCAATAATGATAGCTATTATGCCCGAGGATTATTACGAACTGAGCCGCGTTAGCGGCGAGGGAGTAACATTCCGAGGTAATAATAGCTATTATTGCGAGTAGTATACTCTACTTTATTTACGACAAATTAATTTATTTGAGATTTTCAATGAACAAAAACAATACAAATCCACAAGCACTACACGTTTGACACTGACACTTTTGTGGAATAATGACCATTAATCCCGCTACTCGTCATTAATCCCTGGAGGAATAACATATGTCATTATACTGCCAAAATCACAAATATAATACGCACATTATACATTAGTCGTAAATATATAAATAATCGGAGTAGTAACCCCTGACAACAGCCCGTTGGCATTTTTACGTTTCCTAGACCGTGAACGCTACTGGCTACGCTGATGAGCTATGAAATGTACTGCGCGCCACACATTCTGTTTCCTAGACAGTGGGCGCAACAGTGGGTGACTCAGGTGACTGATACTGATTTAAAAAAAAAAAAGTTAGGTTTACTTCCATGCTCGATAGCGTTTGGTTGATTTTTATACATATTGACTGATCTGATCTTTTTTGATCTCTTCTTTTTTTTCTCAAAAAGTTCCAAGTTTGAACTAGTGCCTGTTTTGCCCTAGTGCCCGCAGGTAAACTTCTATTTGCGCTTACGCTACTTGTTTTTCTTTCCTTATTTTTAGCATTGTGCTGACAAACGACAAACCCAATCCTTATATTATATATTTTATCATAGAAAAGCTTAACAGCCATATTGGCTATTGACATCATTAAGAGATTCGAGGTGATTTCAAGAAGCATTGTGAAACAATTGGTACCATCGTCACCAAAAGTAACTGGGACAACATCACATTAGCTCTTGTCCTATTATATGAATTTCATTGTCAAATATTTGTCAAACTATGCATCAAATGCATTGAAATGAATGACAGTAGAATTAGGCCAGGAGATTATTATGCATTATTTGTGTCCCAGTTACTTTTGGTGACGATGGTACATAGCGTCGAAATCTCAGCTTTCCTGAAGTTGTAATTTTGCGAGTGACTATTCCCATTCCGTGTCAAATTTCTTTGTCTAGGGGTTTTAAACTCAATTTCTATCATGAGTGGAGGATGGTGTGTATCAATGCCGACAAAACTGAAAGTACTTTCATATACCCTACATTTACTATTAGTTACAACAACATCAAGTAAGCGGTTATTTCCATTTAGTACCCGATTCATCTGGTGTCAATCAGGAAAATTCAAAAACATATTTATCTGTCGATCCCTGAAGTTACACCACATAATAGTCGTTTAAGTGGCTAATATTAAGATTTCCCACCAATATGATTATTTCTGGTAGGTAAATACATTCTTGATTTTCAATATATGAGAAAGAAGGAATAGATGATCTTTCTTCTCTGTCTAATAGACCAACACTAAAATATAAATAAAGTTAACATCATATACGACGAAGACTTTAGTCCCTAACAAATCTATGCATGACACATTAAAATCTAAATTCAATTTACAAGTTTTGTAGGTTTTTTTGACTGCCATGCCAGTGAGACACCACCACCACGCATATTATCTTCCCTGCTTCGACATTTTAAAATGGTAAAGGACCCATACAATTCGCTATGTTAGTCAACCATATGTTTCGCTTAGAGCAGTGGTTCCCAAACTTTTTTCTTCCGCGCCCCCTTTCTGAAATCAAGAAGTGATCGCGCCCCCCTCCCTTCCTTTCTCCATTATACAGAAACATTTTTTTTACTTATTGTAACTCGTCTGAAAAGAGACGCTTTCGGGTGCTCTTAGAACATTTCACACCCGTCAGTGACTTGTTAAGGACCATTCACACACATCAGTTCCATATCAGTGCTGCGTCAGTTCAGTATCAGGGCTATTCGTGCTTCATCAGTAGTGACAATTTACAGTTTACACATATCCGTCTGTAGTCCGTACCATGCTTTCAGTGAAATGTCCGAATTCAGAGATCAAACGCAAATTCCAATCGATTTCCGTCAGTGAAATACACAAAATATCGTTGCCGACTTAAATAAAAAACACGGAACTGACACTGACGCAGCAGTGATGGTAAAAAACGTCACTGCGCCGGACTTGTCTAAACAGGTTCATTGGAGACTAGGCAACGATATTTTATTTTTCACTGCCACTGATACTGATCTGAAACGGCACTGATACGGAACTGATGTGTGTGAATAGTCCTTTATACTCCATGCGTTTTGCACTTGAACGCTTGAAACCGAACGGGTCAAACTGTAGCCGGAGTACTTCGAAGTAACTCGGGAGCGCTCAACGGATGGCACCCGAAAGCAGTTCTGAACTTTGGAAGGGGAGGAATGGGCATGACCTTAGACAAGGAAAGAGAGAGGACGCGTAACATCCTTTACCTGCACTAGCGGCTAGTTGTGACCGTTTACCACCAAATAATGGCGACAATTTTTCGTGGTGCCACTATGTGAATTTTACTTCAAACTAACATTTTTGTGATATTCAGCATGGTGGATTGCTAGCATATTGCTGCAAAACCCGCAGAGAAAAAAAAGTCGACGGGATTACATTTAACAGGCAAAAAACAATATGCTTTCTAGGTTATGTTATGAAAAAAGCAGACATTTTTTGGTGGCAAACTGCTTCATTTTCACCTGCTGTGATACGAGTCCCCTCTCTTTCCTTGTCTAAGGGCACGACAGTGGGCAGCGAGCGTGCGCTGTAGCAATTATCGCATGGCAAAGTTTGGCTTAGGTATGCGCTGTTGCAGGATTGTAGACATCTTTTTTTAAATTTTAACTGATTTTTTTATTTTAAATCTTAAAACTTGTATTAATTTTCAAGAAGACTCACGCCCCCCTTAATGTTGCTCCACGCCTCCCCCCCCCCCAGGGGGGCGCGCCCCCCAGTTTGGGAACCGCTGGCTTAGAGCAATTACATCACATTCATTTTCCGTTAACATCACTGAATGAAAAAAGTCCACTGTTTCACTATTAAGTCTACGCTCATGTTGATAAGCGACAGTGAAAGCTATTTCTTCTTCGGTAGAAACCCTATCATCATTAACTGCACTCAATTGCCCATTATCGTTCACCTCTCTGCTAAAAAAAATTATGGGGTTAAGTAATTTGTTTGTTGCTGAAGTCTTCCGATTCTTTGCATATACAGGGTGTCCCACGGTGGATGGCGTATTAGACGTTTATGGAGAACTAAAAAGCGAATCATTTTGAAAATTTGGCAAGCGGGATAAACGACCATAATCTACACTTTAAAAATATTTTTGTTTATGCGGTGTTGTCGCTCCTACTCTAAACCAGTGGCAACATCGCTATTTTAAATGGAACACCCTGTATGTGATTGCATATTTGGATTGTAAAATTCTGAGCAGATTTCATGTGATATACCCTATACCTAAGTTCAACTGTTTTGGAAATATTGACAGTTGAAAATTGACTTTTTGCAACTTTGACAGGCTGTAAAACCTAAACGGTTAATTTTAGAGGAAAACCGATTTCACATTCCTATCTTAGATTTTTACAAACTATCATTTGACACCAACTTTGAATTTAATCCATGATCAAAAATTCCAATTAAATTTGGTCTCCGGTTAAATTCAAAGTTGGTGTCAAATGAGAGTTTATGAAAATCTAAGCTAGGAATGTAAAATCGGTTTTCCTCTAAAATTAACCGTTCGGGTTTTACAGCCTGTCAAAGTTGCAAAAAGTCAATTTTCAACTGTCAATATTTCCAAAACAGTTGAACTTAGTATAGGGTATATCACCTGAAATCTGCTCAGAATTTTACGAACAATCTAAATATGCAATCACATACAAGGTCGCTTTTTAGTTCTCCATAAACGCCATTCACCGTGGGATACCCTGAATACAGGACACGACGAATTTCGGGCCGAATGATTTTCTTGGAGTAAGTTTGACCACTTACAATTAGGACCAATTAAGAGAATCTGACTACTATTATGGACACCACCACATTTATGACAACAGTCACTGGCTGAGCAGTGGTTTGACAACATGGCCAAATAAATAACACTTGAAACCCATTGCTACATTTGTATACTCCTGGACATGCAGGGCAGAGGTCGAATACCATGTTATTATTTGTAAAGATAATTTGTGGAAATTAAAGTCATCTTTGTAAAACTAGTTTCGGTACCTATAACCGACAAAAATTCTCCCTTTATTATTTGTAATGAGCCACCTGAATGACCGGACGAGTCTGAAATATCCAATTTTTTTTGTTGTTTCTGCAGTCTCTTTTGGTCACATATTTGAACTGGTCCTGTACATGTGTCTAGAATATCAGGATTATCAGCAACAAATTCATTAATGAATGTTCCTGGTGTATGCCCTTTAAAAACTCTTGTTATCTTTATCAATGGATACAAATTGAAAATATTTTTTTTTGTTAGCATTTTCAAGGGTTTCCTTCAATTATTTCTGCTGAGAGGCATCTTGATTGATATTCTATTATGACACTTCCACTCTGTAAAAGTTTGATTCTTTTAAAATGTCCATCAACATTTATTTTAAATGATTGATTCCTGCATATTTATTACAAGTTTGTACTCGGGCTTTGTAAAAGGAAAAAGTAAAGCCTTTTCTCTGCCGACATCATTTTTTCTTCTATTTAGAGCAGTGACTAATGAAGATAGAAAAGCAATGACTTCATCCACTCAACTGATAAGCACAATGGTATCTATATTTATCAAAAATACATAACGTTTAAACCTCATATAGGTATGAATATTAATTTTCTGAATCATTGTTATACAAATACAATAAATTGTTTTAAACTGGAAATTTCTATTAGTTGCCGAGTGAGTAATTGATCAACTAAACAAAAGAAATTTTATACAAGTATACCAAACTGTTTTGTACTAAAAAAATTAAAAATGTATATTAAATGTACAATTTTTATTTAAATAAATAACATTGTAAATAATATCATACATTCAAGAAGACAATTATGAATTATTCTTTCGTCTGCACTGCCTTTACTGTTGTTTCATGGTCGATAAGAAAACCACTGTACGTAAACAACAAAAAATATCGTAGTTTTAAAATTAACTTATTTTAAATAAATAATTTAAATAAAAAAATGCTGTGTTAGGATTATATTTAGCGGATAATTATATTTTTGCTCATATGCATGGAGAGATTTGACAGAATAAGTAATAACGTGTCCTGTCAACGCTCTTCGCTCTTTCGTTTAAGATATTTATTTGTTATTTTTTTTTATTAGATGAACCCTTTTTTCCCGTTTTTTGTTCAAAAAAAAAATATAGTTTTAAGTGATAATTATTTTGTAATTTAGAATATGATTTTCTAGTCTATCATTGTTCTAGGTACTCATTTTGTAGCTTAATTTAATTATTGACGTTGATTTTTTTTATTACATTTTGGTTCCTTCAAAGAAAAATATACATAGTGCTGGCTATATTATATTATTTTTAAGTAATATTTTAGTTTGAAATTTATGTAAATGTGTGTAAATAAATAATATATATTTTTGAAAATTAAAGTATTGCCTTTTTTGATTTTGATTCCATAATAGGCATTACTTATGACAGTGTTCACAGATACACAAATATTTTCAAAAATTGAAAATAAATACACTTTTTATTGTTAGTAGTTAGTAATCCACCTAAATTTATGAACAAAAATCTCTTCTGAGTGTTTTAGGAAAAACAGTGCACCCTGAAAATCTAAGAAAATAAATGTTCTAGCGAAGAAACGGCCGGTATGCCATATACAGTCAACAACCGAATGAACCTTACGGATGTGTGAAGTGGCAGAGGGGAAAACGGAAACTACCCAATCAGAAAATTGCAGTTACGGGTCCCCAACGGACGACTCGCGTAAAGGTACATTAATCTGGCGCCAATCAGGAGGGTTTTGCCCGCATTCCTTCCACACAGGTTCATTCAGTTGTCGCACTTTACCTGCGTTATCATCTTGTTCAAGTAATTCAGTTTGTTGCAGACCAGGGGCCTTATTCTGTAAAAACGAACCGTTCGATTCGGTAGAATTTCTTCGATTGTGACGTCATTTTTGGTTTGGTTTTCGCGCTACCAAACCGAAAATGACGTCACAATCGAAGAAATTCTACCGAATCGAACGGTTCGTTCCTTACAGAATAATGCCCCTGGTCCTGGTAGATCAGGTAGATCTCCCGATTAGATGTACCATCGTCACCAAAAGTAACTGGGACAGCATTATATTAGCTCTGGTACTATTATATGATTTTTAGTGTCAAATATTTGTCAAACTATGAATTAAATGCATTGAAATGAATGACAGTTGAATTAGTCCAGGAGATTATTATGCTTTATTTGTGTCCCAGATACTTTTGGTGACGATGGTACGTTACGCTACGGTAGGTGCATAGAAGCAACATTCCTAGTACATAAATAGAACGTCCAAAAATGAATATTTCAATCGAAACAATCTTAGAATATTCATTAAACATTCGTAAAAGAACATTCCAAAAAGCACTTTGAGGGAATATTCTGAGAATATGAATGTGGGTCGTTATATTACTATTGATAATATTTAATGTTTAATAGTTTTATCATTTCACTTTCCATCGCCGCCACTGGTAAAAAAACTCCGCCGACTTGAACCCTATGGTTACAGGGATGGCCCAGTGTTCAACATTCATTAGACAGAGTTTTTACGTATGATTCTATGCACTGCAGTAAACTTTGACTTCCAGTGTTTCTTTTTTTGTTAAAATGTTTTTTCATTAATGAATTTTTTGTTAAAGTATAGGGCGGCAAATCTTATAGGCCCAGGGCGCCAAATTTTAAAATACGCCACTGTTTGTAAGCATGATAGGCAAATAGGCAAACGAGATCTAAAATCTAGATGGTTGTATGCATAAAAGCATCGGCATCATAGCCTGTGGTGCAAACACCCTACGTCAAGGCAAGAAACGACACGCTGCACATCATCACTGGTACTTTAGCGTGGTGTGGGATGAAAATAGTCAGAAAACTGGTTGTTGATGGCGATTTGTACCTATCAAAACCGCTGTGACTGGTTTGTGATTTCTGTGGAACGTGTAAGTTTTTAGGCGGCGGTCTGATATTTGGACGAGAATCAAGGTTGTTTGAAAGAGGTAGATTGCCTGATAACTTTTATGTCGTCATCTGGGATGCCTGAGCATAATGCAAATTTCCATTATATCCTCCTGATAACGTCATCTGTTTACCAGTTCACAGGCTATTTTTCGCGACATAATTTTTCCAAAGAATATTACTGATGATAAGCCAACATAATCGAACATAATCTTTGGAAAAATTATGTCGCGAAAAATAGCCTAACCTTTTAACTTTAATGTCGCAGTGTCATGCATCCGTTTTCCGACGTCCGATGGTACGACGGACCCCCTATTGGTTGAAAAATTTCCCGCCACTTTTCATCCGAATATTTTCAACTTTTTTTCCGACGTCGTACAAATAGGGCTGTAAAAGTAACGAAAATTTTAATAGTCGTACGTATTCGTTACTTTTGAGATTGATATTCGTTACTCGTTACTTTCGTGCTTTAGATACCATGCAAAAGAGTAGAAAAATGACTTTCCGATTATCGGATTATCGAATAAAGTATTGCCGGGATTTGTATTCGGTAATAATCAATATAAATATAATCTTTGGTAAATGTTCAAAAAAAAAAAACAAAAACCGTAGATATGTGACTGATGCGAGTAACGAAAGGCGGCCAGCAGTAACGAATCTGTACTTCGAATCCGAGAGAATATTCGTTACTCAGTACTATGCTCAGTAACGAATACATACGGTTTGCAACAGCACTAGCACTACGTACAAACTCAAATAGCAATTTTTTTTTAGGCTGGCCGTCCATTGGATGCGTAGTCGTATGTGATTAATCGGACGACTTTGATCGTACGAATGTAAACGACTGCACCTCGTCCATTAGCAACGATTTCTGGTTGATAGTTGATAAATAAAATAGATAGTTTATTTCTTTATTTTGTAGCATATGTTCAAGTGTGGCCTTTGTGTTGGTAGTGTTTAGATAAGAGTCATTAAAATGGACTTTGACAGTATCCATTTTTTGCGCAACCTTCTTCCACAATTTGCGTTGGACATCTCTAGCATGATATCTGCTGTCTGCTCTCATATCCCATAATGCTTTTCTTTCTCTCACCTCGCAAATAAGGTTCCCGCAATCAATAATTATCCACAATATGTAAAAAACTAAAAGCCTGCACTGGCTTTAATTGCAAATACTGACCGAAAGTCGTTTGAAAACGTCCGACAAATTCCATTCAACTGGGACCAGTCGTTGGTCGCATAAAATCGGATCTAGTCGTGCGATCGAATTCGTGTGCAGTGGATGAACGTTCTATTTATTTTTATGTGAAGGGATTAGTCGGACGTATACGGACTACTACGCACGACCGCAAAGTCGTACGACTACGCATCCAATGGACGGCCAGTCATTACACACTTCGGTTTTAGAACGACGTGTTTCATCGTGGCGATGAAAACCGTCGTGCTTCATCGTAGTCTATGGGGCCCTTTAAAGGAGTTGGAAAAAATCTGACCCCCACTTGCGAGCCTCGATTTTCAAGAGAAATTACCGACAATATAAAGCCATACATTTGAAAACATATACCACAACTTTACGCCCTAGTGTCTAACTTAGTTCACAACCTAGGGTGTAAAGTAAAACCACATTTTTAGTGCCTAAAAAGGGCAGCAAAGGCTTTTATGATATAAAATTTCATACTTGTGAGTATTTATTTCATGTTTGCGAAGAAATTTTTAAACATTTAGGGCAGGTATTATAAAACTATTTTAACAGAATAACTAGAAGTTAACTTCTCGAATGACGTTACTACTCATGGTAATTCCAGAAGTTAACTTTTAGTTATCTGTCAAAATAGTTTTATAATACCCGCCCTCAATAAACTTTTTTGCTGTTGTGAATTACTTTACGCAATAGTGCGGGAAATCTATTTTCACGTCTTTTGAACAGTGCGTAAAGTAAGTACTTTATGCGCGGTAGTAGAAAAAAAAAATTGTTAGCTAAAACCAAAGGCAACTGTTATTATTTCAATCGAGCCAAAAAATAAAGTTTTCACATCCTGCATAAGTTTATTTGTTTTAGATTCTTAAGTTATTTTCGACTATATCTCCCTACCCCCAACTACTCAACCTATGACAAACTCAAAAACTGTTTCAAAATCACAAAAAAAAGCGCATATTTTTATTTTATTTTTTTCTAAGAAGTACCTATGGTCAAAGTTTACAGCTACGGTTCAGAGAAAATTGAAGAAAATCAAATCAATGTATTTTCCTATTTTTTTTTTGACAGAAATACTACCTGTCAAAATGGTTTTATATTTTTATGTCATTCTTTAGTCCAAAACAAACGTATTTTATTTTTACTTGACGAAAATCGGTTAATAAATAAGAAAGTTACGATTTTTTTCAATAATAGCACCAGCCGCCATCTTTAATTCATCATGGCGGAAAAAGCAAGCCTCCTAGGAGGTGTAACTTTTTAATAAGTACTATTAATGGGTACTATCACCTGTGAAAAAATCAGCTTGATTGCAAAAACTTCTCCTAAAGGCCATTTTTTGAGCTAACTGCCCTGGCCTATGAGGGGGTGATAGTTTTGAAGTGAAACTTCGGGCTGATATTTTTGCGAGAATGGAGAGTGATTTAAAAGATGCGTCACGCTTAAGGTACGATTTGTTAGGAGAGTACGCGTCGCGCGTCGCACAACTGACAACGTGAACGTCGTCATTGGTTTAGGTATGACGTACACCCGTTGTCTCACGTCAGAAGACGGGTGTACGTCATGCCTGGGCCAATGACGACGTTTACGTTGTCAGTTGTGCGTCGCGTACTATTCTAACATACCGTACCTTTAAGGTACGGTTTGTTAGGGCATTGCGCGACGATTAGTCTGTGAGACGACCGCATTTTTCCTACCCCGATCGAGTTATGTGTCGACACTATTATCAATATACTGGGTGAATCCGAAAGTGAGGTTTTTTTTTTAACGGGATATATATCTCACCAAAATAAGTTGTTTGGCAAAAAATTGTTTATACAAAAAATTTAAGATAACGGAGTTACAGGTATTTCAAGGTCTTAAGAAGACTCCAGGGTCCTTATTCTCAAAACATGGGAGCAGTATTCTTATGAGAACGAAGGTCCTATCTTCGCCGCCTTATTTGCCCATACTCATGTTTGCATAACACTGACAAAGACCAGATCAATCGTTCTCATGAGAACGCTGTTCCCCAGTTTCGAGAATAGGCATCCAATTATAAAACATTTTGCTTACATTTTCTCGGAAAAAAGCAGTTATTTATCCAGCATAATGAGTTTTTTTCCATAATAGATAATCTACAGTTGCATTATTCCATCAGAAAAATCAATCAAAAACTCCTTTTTCCATTTTCAACTTAATTATTTTTATATCTTCAAATACCTGTACCTCCGTTATCTTAAGTTTTTTATGTAAAAAAATTTTTG